ATACTCTAAGTTTGCTAAACATATAAAGTAATTCAGATTTTCTTCTATTTTATTTGTTTTACAAGTATCAAGCAACTTAAACGAATAGGATTAATTTGATCAATATGTTTAAAAATAAATATATACATAAAAAACAAGAATGAATGATGATAGCAAACAAATAAATAAGAAATTGCTTTTATATCCAAAGAAACAATTAAGATATTATTTTTTTTTTAATTTTAAATTTATGATATTTTGAAACATAAATATATAAAGTTATAAATTTTCTTATTTTATAGCCCATTATTTTTTCCCATTTGATAAGCGAAACAAGATATTATAATTTTCCAAAATCAAGCAAGATTATAATACAATGACCCAACTTACACATCCTCATGTCCATCTTTGAATGATGATTCAATTGATAATTATTAATGAGATTGCAAAAAATAATGCAAAGATAATTTTCTTATGATTTTGTCTTTAATAAAAAATCAATTAACTTCTTATGAATACTGTATCATCTCTAAATATTACAAAATTCAATAACTATTTATCTAAATGCAGTGTATTTGATTTTTAAATTTGAATTTTTTTGTGTGTCACTATTATTATAAATTATATCTGCTCTAAACTTAAATTAATTTGAGTTTCTTTCAAATAAACATTTGAAAGATGCTTTTGGGTTCATTGCATAAATCTCAAATAAGGCAATAGTAAATCATTAATTTTAATTAAAAAAAATGGATTGCAAAACTGAGTAAAATGACGATTTTTTCGAGGTTTGGGCCAAGGTTAAAGATTTTAATATATAAATCTACCCTATTCTTGTTGAAATTTTTAGAAGAGAAAAAATCACAGATATATTTAAGCATTTAAACTTTCAAATGCTAGAGCAAATAGGAATTAAAAATATTGAGCTCTTCATTAATATTCTAAAAATAATAAGTGAGCTTGACTTTAATAAAAAGAACTTTTCAGATGAAGATTAGAAATAAATTAGAAAAGAATTGATTGAAAGGATTGGTTAGGAGAGACACATCGTTGAATTTTTGAAATTCCTCGTACAATTGACAGCCTTTGATGAGAAATTCATCTAAAGTGGATCTAATTCACTCAATTTATTAGTCGAAATGAAAGTGGATTTAAGCGAATAAAGTTTTGAGAATATCAGGATTCGAGACATCTCATTAGTTTGTGGAAATTTTGTAGGATGCAATTTTAATGGATCAGAATTTGACAATGTAGATATTAGTGGAATGAACTTGAATTAAGCTTAATTGTTGAATTGTAAATGGAAAAATATCAAAATTCATGAGTTAAATAAATTAGAAGGTCATGGTGGAAGTGTCATTTCAGTAAGCTTTTCTCCAGATTGTAAGTCATTAGCTTCAGGCAGTGAAGACAATTCAATTATTTTGTGGGATGTGAAAACTGGGAAAAAAAAGTCCATAATCAGGATTAAGGGAAAGGTAAAATCAGTATGCATCTCACCTAAAAATGCTACATTAGCTTTGAGTAGTGCAGAATGTATGTATGTATGGAATCTAAAAACAGGAAGATAATTATCTAAATTAATTGGTCATTCAAGGTAGGTTAATTCAGTCAGTTTCTCTCCTGATGGTTTTACATTAGCATCTGGTGGCGATAACTCTATCCGTTTATGGGATGTTAAGACAGGATAATAAAAAGCCAAATTAGATGGTCACTCAAATACAGTTAATTCAATTTGTTACTCTCCTGATGGCACTACATTAGCATCTTGTAGTCATGATGGGTCTATCTGTTTTATGGGATGTTAAGACAAGAAAATTAAAAGCCAA